GTGCATGGCAGTGTAAGTGAAGGTTAATTGTAAATTTACAGGCTGCATAAGGAGATTTGTTCTATTGTCTTTGGGGCAAGTGCTCTGGCCTGCCACAATGGAGATAACTATCACTGATTCCTCTCTTCCTAGCCTAGGATGATGATGAGGCAGTAAGAAGGAGGGCAGGAAGAAAAGCTGGTGGACATCTACAAAAGGACCCCAAGAAGCTCTGATATGGAGGACAAAATTGGTACTGAACATTGAGGAGGGTGGTGCAAGGGACAGAATCTCACAGAAAGCAAATGCACAGATGATCCATCCCTCTTTCCCCAGAGAGACAAATTCTAACCAGGCAGACATCAGACTGTAATGCCCACTGAGGCTGAAGTGAACAACCACAATGGCCAAAAAGTCTTCCATGATGCAGCCGGACAGGGATCTATCTGCACTCATGCACATGTGCTTCTCTTCTTCCCTCTCTATGCCAAACAACTTGAAAGTTCCCTTGTCCTATACTTAAGAGTTCTCTCTGGACAACTTCTTATTCTCCCTACATCTCCCCTGACCTCACAGGGACTGGCTATGCTTTTTCTGGGTCTTACAGTGCCTGCTTGGAGATTACTTTCTTCAGCTGATCGAGTCTCTCATCTCTCAGTGCATCCCGGATAGCGCCAAAGAAGCTGAAGTAATGCTGGAAGTTGTGCATCATGAGCAGGACACCAGCAAGTAGCTCATTGGTCACCAGGAGGTGATGGACATAGGCTCGATTGTGGTTCTGACAGCAGTAACAGGAGCAGCCTTGCACAAGGGGACCAAAATCATCCTGGTATCTAAGGAAGAGGGAGGCAAAAGAGCCACCATCAGAAAAAAAAAAGTCCAGTATCAAGTAGTAAGGAAAAGGATTTGTGAAGTGTGTGCAATGAAACCTTGCTCCAGTCAGCAGGCTGCGAAATGTGACATTACATTCTCATTTGAAATAAGTCAGGGCAAAGCTCTTCCTGCATCACAACATAGTACTTAATTCATGCTCTAGCACACCATTCCTGCCAACAGCCTCTTGCTAATAATGTCACACACCTAAGAGACCAATCCAAAGCCCACAGAAACCATCAGCGGGAATCTTTCCACTGTCTTCAATGGCTTTCAACTCAGGCCCTAGTCCAGGGGTTCCCAACCTTTTTAGGCTGAGGACTGGCAAACCATGGACCGGTAGTGACCGTGGATCGGCAAACGCCAGACTAGCAGCGACTGGCATACTGTGGGCAGGTAGCCAACTTTTTTTTATACTCAGTATAAAAAAGGGTTGGCTGCCAGTCCGCAGTAGCATGCTGGCCACTTCTAGTCCACCGTTTGCCAGTCCGTGGTCACTTCTGGTCTGGCAGCCAGCCATCCTGTGGACTGGCAGCCAACCCTTCGCAGCCTGGCACCAGGCCACAGCCCAGGGGTTGGGAATCCCTACCCTAGTCAGCCTGAATAATGCAACCAAGTTTCAGAGGGTGATGTTAAACATTTTTCTGAATGGGGATCTTTTCATTCATGCCTGAAGCTCTGGATTCTCTGGGGTAATACGTTAAAGAGCCACAATATTGCTTGCCCAGTCACAAACTATTAGCACAGTCAACATTACAGAAGATGAAAGTTAGACGAGAAGGAATGTAGGCCAAGACTGAGAAATGACTAGTAATTACCCCTCAATCTGTGCCCTTCCTGACACACAGTGAAAAAAGACCAGGATTAACAAAGGATGGGGTCTCAACCCCCTGCTCAAAACCTGGATCTGTCAATGATGTCTCAAATCAGGTACTAAAAAAACTGAAAAACTTTCAATCACTGATAAGATTCCTCATGACAGGCTATTTTCCATAAGTTGGAATGTGGCTGTAACATGCTGTGAAAAGCGCTGTGACACTTTTAGTTGCTAAACAGTGAAGAAAAGAAAAGAAAAAACCCTTGGCTTTCTGTCACTTGAACGATGGTATCTTGGCACTGTCTCCAAATGACAGGCTAGGGCATTTGTCCAAAACCACCTCAGAGGGTATTATGCACTTAGTAAATACCAGCATTCTCTGCAAGACTCTAGGTGTTCCCTGGGTAGTTGCCATCCAGCTACTGACCAAGCATGACACAGCATAAGAATATTAGCTCAAAACAATATGGCTGCAGACACCATTTAAAAGTCTCTCCCCTGCCCATTTACCTTTTGTCCTTCAAAAATATCTCAAACGATGTCATTTCCAAATCAGCTTTGGAGGTTTCACCCTTGTCTTTTTTGCTGCCATTTCCCCCAGTATCCTCGGTCCAATTTTGTTTCAACACTGTGGCAAAAAGCAACAATACTTCTTCAAGAGGCAGCAGTGAAAAAGAAGGGCAGGAAGTAACTTGACACAAGACACCTGAGTTTCTCTGTTGCTACAAACCAAAATCTCCAACTCCTTTCTATGAAAATCAGCATCATCCCTCTTTGGTTATCCTAAGATAGTAGAACCGGATACATGTACGAGATCAAACCTAATTATACTGCAAGGCAGGTAACAAGGAGTCAACTAATCTGACAAAAGTTTACAGCCGAAACAGCTGCACATCTTTTGCTGCTCTACTGAGTTTAATTCCTTTTTATTAAAAGTCATACAAAATACTTTCAGTCTAAATTACATTTTATACAGCAGGAAATCATCTGAACTATTGATTTATTTAGATTTTAATGAAAGTGATAAGTGACTCATCTACATTCATTCTACTTTTCCTGTTGCACTTTTGGGATTAAAGATCCCTCCCCCTCTCCTCCATACAAGTGAAATCCAAAAGGCTGGACTGTGGTAGCAGCAATACTGCAGTTACAGATGGAGATTCCAAACTCAAGAGATGCAGCTGCTTGCAACTTCCACAAGGCCATGGTTTTTGGGCCTGGAATTTCTCATACTTGTTTCTCCAAAAAGGAGACAATTGTGGCAAGCCACTATTAGTGCTGCGTAGTGCTACCATAAGGCTTTAGTTGTGGGCCAGGACCTAAAAAGTGAGCACAAGGGAACAACTGGTTTTGAATTTTCCCAGCATAAAAAAACAAAAAGTGATTCAAAGTTTGATTCATTAAGAAGATACTACTATGGGGAGTTTTTTGGTATTAAAAATCTTACCAGGTCTAGGAAGGACACCACTCCTTGCATCTGAAACCTTTCTGGGCAGGTACCAAGCCTTCACACATTTAAGCAAGTGCCGTGTTCACAGAGGATTTGACTAACTTGCACTAGTTTTGTTAGTGCTGATATTAAAGAAGCAAAGTGGGTAAGGCACGGAAAAACTGCTTCCCAGTGAGTAAGGTTTCCCCTAACTTTGTCCAGCTGAAGAGGGAGAGAGGAGCAATGCTACATAGTCTAACACTGCAAGGAGCAAAGTGCCTTCAGCTCCCACTAAAATTTGTGGGGCCAGTCTTGTGTTGCTGAACGTAATGGGAGCTTTGCTTCAACAGAAGCAGGCCCAACGGGATTTGAGGGCACTTAGCACGTAATAGTATTGGGCCCATAAAGCCACCTACGCAGTAAACCATGGAGAACCCTCAACTCTACAGTACTTTCAACCATGGTCCAGTTGACCTCATTTGGATATTCCAGGTGCTAAGGTTAAGTATCAAATTCTTTGGCTGACATCATTCTTTAGGACCACCCAAAAGAACCTCACCCCTGACCTGAGTAATTAAAACGTGCTATGCTGGCCATGACACCTCCCACTTTACATCAGCCAATGACCACACCAATACAGCTATGCAGAAATCTACCTGCTGCTTCTGGGTCAGGTTGGTAGTCATAGCTGAAGGACAGGGCACAGCCCCGCTCTGTCACCTGGTAGGGGAAAGCGCTCTCAAAGATGTCCACTCCTCTTTCAATGCACTCTAGTACCTCATCAGGTTTGCCAATACCATGGATGAGTCTGTGAAAGAAACATACAAAAAATACAAGTCTGCAGTGTGCAGAATGGAACTGAATGAGCAATTGCAGTCTCCCCCAGCACAGGGACAGCCATAATGGATCCAACCAGTGGTCCAATAAGGTTAGCCACACGTACCCAGTAATGACTAGGAGCTTTAAGATAAGACACAAGACAGCCCAGCAGTGTAATGATATAAATATATGGCATACTATACTTATGGCAGTGAAAGCAGCAGCAGGTGAAGACAAGCTGGCACATGGGCTATTGCCAATCATGAGGCCGTGCGCTTCTGTTTTCCATCCACACAGCATGTGGCAGCCCGTCCAAATTTCCCTCATCTCCCAGGCTCTCTGTTATGTTGCTATTGGAAATATTACACCAACTTCTCATTAAACCCTGAACAACCTCTAAATCTTATGTATAGTGTTTAAAGCTATTTAGCTTCCTTGGTGCTTATGTAAACTGATTCTAGTTCGTAACCCACCCACTGCACTTGATTCTACAGATCACACACTTCATTGCACATTGTCAGGGTACAAGGGTTTTTTTTCGTTTTGGCTTGGCATTTTTGTTTGGTGGGGGCAGGGGGCTGCACCAGGTCCCTAACCCTCTTGCACAACCTCCATTTCAGTCACCCTTCTAATATTTCTCAGGTCACATTCAAACATTCCCTTTCTCATTAGCCATTTTCAAAACTGTTCCCTGTAGCTTGGTTTGGGTGTAGAAAGCACTATTTCAGGTGAATGTGGCCATTCATTGAAACCACCAGCAACATCACAAAATGGTCCAAAGGATGAGAGAGTTGAGTGGATTCTCAAAGCCTGAACCTTCAAACATCTGTCTCAAGCCATCTGTGTGGCATCCATCTCAAGCCAACAGGACTGCTTCTACAAGTAAGGTCACACATGCATACAGAATATGGGTGGTTAGACTGGGATACAGGAATTCATCTTCTTTCACCTCACTAACCCAAAAGGGTCTATAGAGGGGTAGGAGGGGAAAGCAATCTACAGCAGAACTTAAGGTAAAGGTTGTCAATTAAATTCATAGAGAAGTAGAGCAGTAAGGGGCCTCCAGAGGTCATCTAGTCCAGCCCCCTGCCTCAGGCAGGATCATCCCCATCAAATCATCCTATACAAATCCATAATCTAAAATCTTGTAAAACTATCATCACCCCTGACACAAGACAAGACATAACACCCTAGCCTGCCATAGGTAAAGCAGGGGGACTATGACAGCCAATGTTCTGCTTCTATAAAAGGGAAGGAGGAGGGTGTAATAATACATCAATGCTGGGGGAAGGGTTCCCTTCTACAGTAATGCATTCACTATTATGAAAATAAGTATGCAGGGGGACTGCTGAAATGAGAAGACACAAATGAGAAAGGCCAATGCAATGAGTCCTTAGTTTCCCTTTCCTTCCTGTCTCCCACCACTTCCTGCTCAGGTGGACCCACTTAAACACAAAAGCAGCAATTTCCCCCAGCAGCCAGGACTATCTGCTTTTCTTGGGACCTGGCAATCCAGCTGGGCTCTTCCAACCTCTTAACACCAATCAGTGACAACAGAGAGTGTGCTGCCATCCAAATTCAGCTGTCAGCTTCACTGAGGACAGACAAGGCCAGAGAGAAAACAGCTTTTCTTGATCTCTCGCAGGTGTACTGCCTGTGCTGACAGCAGGGTAAGCTAATGTAGGGTAATGAACTAAAGAGATAATTGAGAAAATATGCAGGGCTGAGAAGTGAAGGAACAAGGGGGCACATCCAGTCACTTTTATAACCCTAATTAAGGTAATGAGAAAGAAGAAAAAAAAAAAAAAGGTAAGATATCGACTGACTCATTTTTTACATTTAATGCCTCCACCATTGGGAGAAAATGCTCCTCAGTAGTAAAACAACTGGTATCTAATTACACATGGGATCAGTTCCCAGGCTAATGTGTACTTCATACAGAGGGAGAATACAGTTTTTGTCTTGTACATGTTGAGATTTCTGAGCATGCTCTGGTCAGCATGAGACGAAAAACCCTTGTACCCACAGATCTGGGGAGCATCTTTCCGCCTAGGATGAATGCTAAATCACAAAAAGGCAGCTACCTCCAAAGCAGGTTGTGGCAGCTGTTCCTCACCATCTGTAAAAGTCCAGCGCTGCCCAAGCATAAGCAGCATATCAGTTTAATGTGGTTAAAACACATCAGCTACAGAAGGGAGTCACATGGCAACACACCTGGCTGCCTGGGATGGGTACCCATGCAGGGCTTGTGCCTCTGTAGAGCTAGGTTGACTACAGCAGCCTTTGGCACGAGTCTAGAGCAGGGCTCAAATTCATGTCTTTGGAGATGTACAAAGGCATCTGCCCCACTCTGTCAAGACCCTCCCCCAGCTCTTCACCGATGTTAGGACATCATTTCTGAAAGGAGAAAGAGCAAGTAGAATAGCTTCTCTGATGGCAGCTACAGGGATAATTCAGGGAAGCAGGATTCAAACACTCAGACAAACCACCAAGGTAAATGTGTTTTTCCTAGCAAAGGAAGATTTGAGAGCAAAGAGCAGATATCATGGAGCTCCCCTCTTACTACTAGAAGCTGGTTTATCTCCAGACTTGGGTGTGGCAGGAGGGCAGAGCTCTGCAGATAGGCAGAGCTCAGTAAAAGCCACAGAGTTATCAGTGAGGGGCTGGTTTTACTTCTGCTTCCACAAAGCTCTGCTTTGTATCCTGCTGTACCATCTTGGGACTGCTGACAGGCCCAGGGGCTTGCTTAGAAGAATCTTGAAAGACTGGTCATCATGGTTTCATGGTTTTCTACTAATGGTTAGAACCAGGTGCAGTTCAGCCAGGTGGCACCCACTGGTGAGTGTTACAATCCCTACACTGTGCCAGTCCATAGCCATTGTGATCTCTGGACACAGCTACAGAATTCAGACCTTCTGACTTACGCTACACAAGCTCATGCTTTTAGCCCTGGTTCAATGTTGGTCAAGCAGTGGTTGCCACATGGATACCATCTAAGCACAATCCTCTCTGCTGTCACTGCCCCTTTTCTATTCTGCAGCCCTCTCTGCTCTTCCAGCCTCGGGCTCCCCACACAGCTCTGCCAGTGCCCTTCATTCCTGACTTGCGGCACCCCCTGCTGTTCCAGACCTGACAGGTGACAGCCATAACGTATCAAGCAGTAGTTTTTGTAGTGAGAATAAACACCCCCTCCTGAGTAGAATGACCTTTTCTTTGCTTTGTTCCAGGCTAGTTGTGATCCAGAGTACACCTATCCCAAACAGGATTCTGTCTAGAAATAAGCCTGACTCCAAACCCTGCATCTCCCTAAAAGCCTTGCAAAAGTTCAGATTCATATTGTTGACAGTTATAGGTTTAGTCCTGTGCCACCTTTTCCTTAACAAGCAAGATCAGAGCTATTATACCCAGGCTCTCGATATCTGAGGGCACAGCATGTGATTCATACAATCATCAGCAAGAGAACAGGCATTTCCTGATAACTGCCTGCAATACATCCCCCACTTATATCTCACCTTGGTTTGTCCTCCGGTAGCTCTGCTGTGACCGCGTCCATCAATCTCAGCTTGGTCTCTTTGGCCATAGCATGGCCCTGGAAGCCATCCAGCAGGAATCCACCCACAGCACGCTTTGCAGTCTCCCTGGCTGACCTGAGCCTCTCCTCCAGAACGTCTCCACCTTCGATTGCACCAATCAGCACGCTCTCCTGCAGCTCCTGGGTCAGACAAGAGGTACAAGCACTACACAAAATGCAAACTTAGCTGGTCCAGAAACAAGACCTGCACCTCACTACCCAGAAACAGGAGCAACGACAGCCCCCAGGCCCTTGGTAACTTAACTGCACCTTCCTGGACCCATAAAAATTGGTGGAATTTGGTACCAGCTGATAAGGCTCCAGTCTGGAAACAGTGCAGCCTAGGGCCTAGAGCAGGGAACTGGAGAATGAAGGGCCAGGCTCTGCCCCCAGTTCGTTCCATAGCTACCCACCTCCCTCGAAGGTAGAAACCACCAACACACCTTTAGACACTGCATTAGATTCTCAGACAGCACTGCAGAAATGCCAAGTGTTGCTGCAGGACACCTGAGGAAAGCCTCCTGTCATGACTGCTACTCACTACACTTTACACTTCAGTACTTCTCAGGGCATGTCTACACCACCTCTGTGCTGAACCCAGTGCACTGCCATGAAGTTCACCCTGCCCCTTCCTCCTACCCTGTGTGCAAGGGAATAGTCTTCTTGCAGCAACCAGCCAAGAAATGCACATAAGAAAGCTGAACAGTGTGGGGTGCGTGTGCAGCACCAATCTATGACTGTGACACTACTTTATTTCTGGGACTGGACACACATGGAGAAAGAGTGAGCATACTTCACTGCAGTGCTCCCTATTCAGGGCATGAAGGCAGGCAGACTTGCCCCAATGTCAGCACTACACAGGACCAGGCTGGCCCCCTCCCCACTACCATGGGCTCCTAGCCAGCACAGCTCTAGCCACACACAGCCCTTCCCTAGGAAAAAAAGGAGTGTAATTCAGTCTGCCAGTAAGGGGAGGTGCTTGAGTAGCACGGGTGAAACCTAGTCAGTCCCCAACAGCTAGAAAGACCGTGGTACTCCAAGGAGTTTAAATAAGGAAAAAATAAAATGAATAGGGCAGGTGGATGAGGGACTGTCTGACTTCTAGACAAGGGAAAAAATCCCTGCTCCCCCTCCATGAGTCTCCCTTCAGGAGGGACTCTCATTGTCTATGGACTGGTAATTCAGCAGACCTCAGGCCCTTGATAACTAACTCTGCTTCCCTAGAAGCTTTAGGTTGGGTGGAAACTGGTGCTGACTGAAGGTAACACAAGCCTAGGAGAGGCAGCTGTACTCAAAAAAAACCCCCAAACACTAAAAAGACTGAATTCCTCTCTCACTTCTAGAGGTTGATTCCTCTTCATCAGGGACAAGACACAAATGCAGGACAGGCACAAGAAAAACCTTTCTCTGCTGCTCCTCATGTTGTGCCTGCTCTGTACATGGTGCAAGAGGTGAAAGACCTCAGTTTGTCTCTCCTGCACAAGAATGACTTAGGCCTAAGTGGACTATGCATGCAGATGCTCTACTGCTCCTGCCCTGGAGCTCCTACCAGGCTCAGTGTAAACACTTGCCTCAGAGATGCTGTGACCTTACCGGTGATTTCTCTAGCAGCTGAAGGCACTTGTCCAGAAAGGAAAGTGATCGGTCCACAGACTTCTTAGCTCTCTTCCTGCTGGTTTCACCAGAAGCAGTGTCTCCATCTGAAAGGCACTGGAACCAGTTGGGCTGAAGAGCTTGCTGCATGCTCATGAACTTGGAAGCTGTCATTTCCATCCGCCCACCACATCCCCATATGGACACGGTCTGTAGTGGGCAAACAAAAAAATATGGGGACAGCTGTTGATGGGAGTGGGTAAGAGACCACCAGGGATTCTATGGAGTCTTGGTAAAATGCCAGCTAGTCAAAGAGTATTTCTGGACAAGCTGTCAAAGAAATTTGCTCAGAAAACCTAGCTGTCTTTGGCATCTAGCAGCCCAAGCACGAGACTGGGAAGCAGAGCTGAGTTTTGTTTCCATCTCTGCCACAAACCCTTCAGGGGACCTTTGGGTGAGTAGCTTCACCTCATGCCTCAGTGTCTCCATCTGTAAAATGAGAATGACATCTTCTCATGGTTGTTGGGATGAAAGGCAAAGTGACTTTTCCATGCAAGGCCCAAACAGTGGTAGAGCTAGAAAAATAACCTAAGTCTCCTGAATGCAACACTATGCTCTAACCACATGAACTAATGTTGGAAAAGGAATCTCTGCTGTGTGCAGGCTTACACAAAAATGTCTTAGTTTCTCGAGCAATAAATTCAGATAGTGTGCACATGCATTCTCCTTTCCCCCTGAGGCATTACCACCATTTGCCAGGTGGTCAAATGATCAGATCCTTCCCATCATGTCTGTGTTCTTAGGCTTCCATCTTGTACTTTCACATACCATCCGACCTACAGTTTTTATGGCAGGAAGGAAAAGCATTGGTCCAAACAAGAGTATTCTTATGTTTTAGCTCCTGAGCAAACAAAGGGGACATATTTCAAATGCTGACTGACTTTAGTGTCATATGTGGACCTGACTGCTCCAGTTTGTAGCTACTAGCATAATATGCCTCTTCCCTGCATGTGGATCATTCCATCTGGATAATTATGAGTCTCACAAGGTTTGCAAGAAAGGGTGCTCAAGCCCTGGCCTGAAGGCCAAATCTAGCTCCTGCCACTCTGTCATTTAGTCCATAGGGAGTCCTGTGGGACTGTGGCCCTGTGCCCTGATTGGGCCCACAGGGTAGCACCAGGCCTGACCCCAGCATACCAGGACATGGCACAGAGCCCCTGAGACTTGACTGTGGCAGGAGGAAATGGCACAGGGCCCCCAGGACCTAATCCTGGTGGTTGAGTTCTGATCTGGCCTATGGACCAGCCCCACATCCTTCATTTAGCTTACAGAGCCAAACAATTGAGTGTCACTGCTTTAAAAGGAACACTCCCATGGTTTAGACCTCCACATTTAAAATCAAAGGGTTTTACAGCCACCAATGTGAGTACAAGCATTATCATGAATTTCTTCTTTTACTGCTTTTTCTTTTGTATGCCAAACAGCTTTTGTGTATTCAAATGCTCTTCTTGCTGCACCAGAAACCCAGAATAACCCATGCTGTGCTAGCGTACAAGACTGGCAAAGCAAAACCAATCAGATTAGTTTCACTTCTCAAGCAGATATAAAAAAAGTGAACGGTGTAATTATTTTCCCCCTAGCACCATGCCCATTTTATCCAATAAAGCTAACTGCAGGAAAACCAGATAGTTTGAGGAACTGGTAAAAGGCTAAGGAGCCTGATCATTGGTTCAACTGCAGCCTGGAATGCAGGACCTTTCTGTCCAGTGAAAGGAACCATTCCGTTTCATTGCCTCTAATGAATTCTATTCAGGCAAAGGCACTTGTCCACACACATGCACCAACATGTCAGGAAGTTAACAGCACAATTTCCATGGACTACAAGGAGAGAAATAGTAACAGAAAGTCCTGCCAACTGAGAAATGGTTGTGGTCAAAATGAATTGGATGGGATTCAGCCTCCTTTGTAAAGGACGGGTACTCACATCAGAAAGAAACAGGAATCTCCTGCTTTTGCTAAACTCTTCACTAGGAACATCCAACATTGTCATGGAGACAGAAATCCAATCCTAGGGACAGCTTTTCCAACCCAGGGTTGTAGTAGTCCAATAAGCAAAATGTGTTTGAGAAGCAGTTGAGCAAAAGCTATGCCTATACACAAGATGACCTGCTTCTAGGTGATCACCAGGGATCCTGGCTTTCCCCGATAAAAACATCGCAAATTCTCTGATAAAACCGCCCAAACCCATGATTAAAATTAAGGGTCCCCCCAGCCCTGCTGGTGCCCTTCACTTCCCCCACACCACAGCCCCCCGGCCCTGCTGGTGCCCCTTGCCCCCCAGGAGAAAACATATCTTTATGTACAGAACAGTTCATTCCAATAGATAACATTAAATTACATAATTACATTTTCATTGTTAGCATCAATTTATATTTTAT